ACTTATACTCAAGTTATTGTCTGGAAAACATATGTCTACAGACCACAATGACGACATATCCACACCATTATAAAATGGCAAAATTTTTGAAGTCTATAAAAACTTAATGTTGACCACACTTTAAAAAAGGCCAAGGTCAGATGTATCTCATCAGACAATCATATTCACATTACCATCATTCTGAACACCATACATCGTTGACCTAGAGAATCGGACCGAGAACAGACCAAATCATGGAACCTAAATGATGACCAAATGGTGCAGGATAAGCCACTAAAATTAACAAATTTAAACCTTTTTCTTATCCCAATCCATGCAATGTGATACAAAATATATCTCTTCATGTGAGAAATAGATCACAGGCAATAACCATAAGAGAATTAATTGTCCTTATTACACATAAAAACTCAAATTAATTTGAAAACAAATAATGTACACATACCCTTAAAAATGGAATCAAGATAATGTTCATATGCCAGATTAAACCAGACCATAAGGCAACTGCATATAAGATATGGATTAACTCATTCTACTTCAGTCTGGATTATGAAGTTTTATATCAGGAGCATCCACTGCTAGATCTGTATCCCTGTGTTTTGTATCTGATGAACCTTTATATAAACTAGATCATTTTAGAATTCTAGATCTATTTAAAGACTTGGCAGCCAATCAGGTAATCAGCAAGTCCAATGAACATTTCTGTCATGTAATTCCTAAGTATCATTTGTGTCATGAACCATGATAAGGAAGTGGGACCAAATACTCTCTATGAAAATGAGACTTGCAAATGCCAATACAACTGCATACCAATATCAGATATTAATCACTCATCTTAAACTGAATCACATGTAAATAATGCAAAACATTCAGTCAATAAACCATGACTGAGGCTGGAGCTGAACAATCTCTATGGAACTGAGATTTGTCAATGCTCATACATCTGTGTACATCTGTGTACCAAATATCATTGACATACCACTTATAGTTCCCTTTCAATTGACCTAATCACAAACCTATACAATCATGTAAACTAATTAAAAGTTTTAAGTCGACTATGACTGAGGGATAGAAGCAAAATAATCTCCTTAGAAATAAGATGTTTCAATGCTTATATAACTGCATACCAAATATCATTGACCTACCACTAGTTGTTTTCTTTAACTTGAACTTATCACAATCAAATACACTGTTAAAGCTGCTGCTTATGGAAAAAGCATGCCCAAGTCTCGCTTTTTCAACTTCGTCCATACCATACAATAAATCAGCTGTGTGTTACCTACCCTTGACCACAGAAACCTCTTCCCCCTTTATTTGTCATTCAGACTCAAATAAAATATAAGATAGGTTTTCTCAATTAAATTTTTATTTACCTATTTATTTATATCATTATCATGCATCATAATATAAAATACCCAAATGAAACCAGACCCATTCTGCTCCATCAAGTGTGTATAAATACCAAAGAAATTGTAATAATAATAAGTTTTTAGTCCCTTTATAAATAAAAGGAGGAAAAGGATCTGCATCATGGGTAAGGTATCATTGGTTAAATATTACAATTATACAAAATAACTGACAGAGCTGAGGATTCTTTTTAGTTTCTTGATACCAGTTCCCAGACTAGCTGTTTAAATAGAAATTAGAAAATCAATTCTGTTCTGAGATACATGTCTTAAATTTTAATATCCTTAGGTCTTAAAGAAATATTTTTTTTGCTCAATATTAAACTTGGTGCTTTCCAATACTTTTAAATACCAAACTTAAAATAAATTTATATAATTCCATAAAATATATGAATCCTCAGTTTGTCACATACGAAGAGACATTTACAAATATAACGAGGAATAAAATGGTAAATACTAAGATAAAAAATGCATAAAAATACATGAATCAAATTCATTTATGAGGTGTACTCAATTTATTTACTGGGTTATTTAAATAAACTAATATTGTGATCTGTGCAAAAATTATTAGATCACCAAGGAAATAGTTAACTGCATTTCATTAAACATTTATAACCCCAAGCTCTTATATTGTATATAAAGTTTCTTTATAATTCCTCCCAATTTCTAACCAAAGTCAATTCTTTATATCAAAGAAGGATAGCTATTTAACAATAAAATTGAGAATGGAAATGGGGATTGTGTCAAAGAGGCAACAACCCGACCATAGAGCAGACAACAGCCGAAGGCCACCAATGGGTCTTCAATGCAGCGAGAAACTCCCGCACCCGGAGGCGTCCTTCAGCTGGCCCCTAAACAAATATGTATACTAGTTCAGTGATAATGGATGCCATACTAAACTCCAAATTATACACAAGAAACTAAAATTAAAAATGATACAAGACTAACAAAGGCCAGAGGCTCCTGACTTGGGAGTTGGGACAGGCGCAAAAATACATGTATGATATAAGTATTTTTTTTTAATTATTTTCTTGGAACCAGAACTTTTTGCCCAGGAAGTAATAAGTAATTATTTCATATAAAATAAAAAGAGGAGATATGATTGCCAACGAGACAACTCTCCACCAGAGACCAAATGACATAGAATTTAACAGCTATCAGTCACCTACAGCCTTCAACCATGAGCAAAACCGATACCCATAGTCCATATCCTTTAGGAAATGTGCCATAGTAAGCAAGTATATCATCTGTTTGCTCATCCGTCTACAACTTCCAATCACAATTAAAGGATTGAATTGTTTTTGCCTAAACTTTCAAATGATCTTCAGTATCTGTTGGCATTGTGTATATTTTTTTCACATCCAAAGGTTCCCCAATCGAAGAATGGACTTTTCCATTTATAAAATTTTATTACTCATATTGAAGGATAGGTTGGTTCAGCTGATAAGAACATAGATTTAGTTAGAGCAAGATTCTGCATTTATAAATCTTGTAATTTGGTCAATCTTCAACGACCACTTCAATATTTATGTTCATTCATTTTTCTATTTTATCCACTAAGAAGAGTTAAAAGCATAATAAATGTCTGATCTCATTATGTAAATTTATATTTTGAATTGCATGTATAATCAAAATATATAAACTCAATCATACTAAGGCTTGGTATAACAAGATTTGACAGTAAAAACAAATAAAATCACATAAAAACCACTAAAATCAGATAAAACAAGATAAAACACAAATCTTGTTATAGCAAAGCCTTATAAAATTTACATTAAAGCTACAGTGGTAATATATATCAGTGTGAACCCCAAATTTATTTTGAATTTAAGTCATTAAAATTTTGTCATAATGAGATCCAACTACTAAAAACATGATTAAAAACAAATATATTTGAACCAACCTATCCTTCACATGATAAAATGGTGGTATGAGAAGCTTCTTTCCCTTTTTTTTTCCAATACTTAGGAGGTCCATTCATTACAATTGAGAACCCAAAAATTTCATTATAATAAAATAAAATACACACAGCCATTAGATACAGAAGATAATCTGAAAGTTTAAATGAAAACCTTCTAATAGTTTATAAGCTGTGGATGAGAGATGATGATGGACAAACAGACAGACAAATCTTCTTTAATAACCTTTTTATGCTCAACATGAGTGCAGATGGGCATGGGATTTGGTCCTGCTCTGGGTCATATCAAAGAATTGAAAATTGGTATTTGATGCTCCCCTGCTAAGCATTCAGCAATTAGGAGTAGGAGCAAAGACTGGTCAGCTGGAAGTCAGAATAATGTGTTCAGGTAGGGTTAGATGTCTTGTGCAGACTTTTACATTATCAACTAGCACATTAAAAAAATCTTGCATTTTTAATTATCCATCCATCCTTCAAAATCAAAACTTCTTTTACAGGATCCCCAGGTTATACATGTGGAGGGGGGGAGGTAATTGTTTAGAAGCTGAGTACAAGCCTCAAAAATCAAACATTAAAATATAAATAATCATAAATGAGAAAAAATATAGAAATCAATCACACAAAAATGAGAAAATATGACAAACTGCAAATTTAAAACTATGTAATTATTTTCACTTGAGTGGTCTCAGATGCTGAATAATGCATTTATAATATATAAACAAAACCAATAAATAAAACTGACAGCCATTAATTTGTATGAATGTAAAGAATGCAGAGTCAAAACAAACCATCTACCGGTAACTAAACATTTTTATTTCTAGTTCATATTGCACCAAAAACTCAGAACGTAAATTGTTTAATAGGGGATTTGTTTTATTCCCTTTTAGTGTTTGGCCATCAAAGTCCTACTTAATAGGTTTCTAACCAGAAAAAATCATTTCACAAAGGACTTATAATTCTTAACCAGTGTACATAACTTAAAAAATATATGTAAACTGAAGCAAGTCTTATGGGTATCTTGTGAAACCATACATCATACCTTTGGGACCTCTCAAATAACAATAATTTCACAGTTTTTTTTTATATTTCTTCAATCACAAAACAATAATTGAATGCAAGAAAAAATAATGAAATGAATATTTATAATTTGAATAACAAAGCATTAAAAATTAATTGCATTTATAATTCATTCTGCTTATAAGACAAATATCTGCTGATTTTTTTCCAAAAGATAGCAACAGTTCATCCAATGGTTTGCAGGATTGTAGTCTGAAGATTTTACCATACAAGGAAGGCAGCAACAGCAACTCTTTCAACTGAAAAAGAAACAAAGTTAAATTTCAATTGTTGATTCTTAATTTTAAAATAATCTAACGGGAATAAAGAAACAGACATCAGTGTATGTTAAACAATTTGTTTATTACTTATATTGATTACTCAAAAATATATAGTATCAAAAATATCCGATTTTATTGTTATCTCCCCTTCATATATCTTCTTCAGATCTAGTATCTGCTTTAAGGGTACATTATTTTAAAATGAAAAGATTGAATACTGATTTTTTTTTAAATTGTAAATTAAAATAAAATATATATATTGAAATCTATTTAGTGACATTCATCACACTATAACATAAACACATTAAAGTTGTATGTTGATGAATAAGTTCTCACCTTATAACAGCTTTATCCCAGCATGTAACCCAATGGAAACCTGATGCTAACCTGGAATATAAAAGTAGTCAGTTATACTAAACTTTCCTAAAAAAAATTATTACACATGTACTAAATTTAAAATTGCACTAAGATAACAAAAAATTCGTAAGGGTTCCGCGGAACCCAGTGTCTCGCCTACTTTTTGCTGTTAATCACAGGCTCAGCAAAAATGAGGAAAAAAATTAATAAAAATATTCCTCTCTATACTATCTTTTGATTGTAAGTAGCTTCTGTCCAAGTTTGGTAAAAATCCAGGATAGTTTATGAATCTAATAAATGTTTTAAAAACTTAAACTGCAGACTGTATGTAATGTTAACTGGAAGAAAAACTAAGTCCATTTATAAGTAAAATACGGAAAAAATGGAACAAAATTTCCTTCTAGATACTAGCTTTTAATCATAAACAAGCTTCTGTCTAAGTTTGGTACAAATCCAGGATAGTTTAAGAAAGTTGTTCAAATTTTAAAAACTTTAACCACAGAGTGAATGTAATGTTAACTGGCAGAAAAACTAAGTCCATTTATAAGTAAAATACGGAAAAAATGGATTTTTTTTTTTACAAAATTTACTTCTGGATACTAGCTTTTAATCATAAACAAGCTTCTGTCCAAGTTTGGTACAAATCCAGGATAGTTTAAGAAAGTTGTTAAAATTTTAAAATCTTTAACCACAGAGTGAATGTAATGTTAACTGGCAGAAAAACTAAGTCCATTTATAAGTAAAATACGGAAAAAATGGAATTTTTTTTTACAAAATTTACTTCTGGATACTATCTTATGATCATAAACAAGCTTCTTTCCAAGTTTGGTAGAAATCCAGGATAGTTTAAGAAAGTTATTAAAATTTCAAAAACTTTAACCACAGAGTGAATGTAATGTTTCCTGGCAGAAAAACTAAGTCCATTTATAAGTAAAATACGGAAAAAATGGAATTTTTTTTTTACAAAATTTACTTTTGAATATTATCTTATGATCATAAACAAGCTTCTGTCCAAGTTTGGTAGAAATCCAGGATAGTTTAAGAAAGTTATTAAAATTTCAAAAACTTTAACCACAGAGTGAATATTTGTGGACGCCGCCGACGCCGACGGAATGTAGGATCGCTATGTCTCGCTTTTTCGACAAAAGTCGAAGGCTCGACAAAAATCATGGAAAAAATATTTGGTATTCTGAATTATAAACTCAAGTTTTATATTTACCAAAAAAATTCAACCGGTATCTCATCAGTGTAAAATTATTTTTTTTTGGTACTAAAGAACCTAATTATGAAATTGATTTCAAATATTATATTACTAAAAAGATGCTCGATTACCTACCAACATGTTAACAATATCAGACATCCAAGTCTTACTCCCAACACCATGAAAACATCATCATTATAACAACCTAAATATAAAAAAAATAAAAAAATAATTACTTGTTTTACAGATCAATCTGTCTCTAAGAAGACTAACAAAATAATGCTATGTTTCATTTATTAAAACCTGTTATACATTATCATCTTCACTATATAAACAAACTGCTAGAGATAGAAATTGACCTTGTGCAAGTGCACGTATATGTATAAGACAATGATTTTGGAATATTCAATTACAAAATCGGATGGTTTTGTTCTCTTTTGATGGTTCTTAAAATCATTTTCATAACAGCGTAGACAACCCCAATACTTATGTTGGTAATAATACTAACTCAATTACTGTAAATTCAGAAACTATTGCAATATTTTTATTATTGCAAAAAATGCAACATGGTTGTATTGGCAATAATTTAAACTAGCATTTTGAAATTTTTTATATGAATTAAACAGGATTTTTCTCAATATCGCAAAAATTAAAATCGCATTTCAGTCTAAAATTACAAAATCGCAATTAATGAATGGTTATTTATTTTGAATTTATTGAACCATAAAATTAATTTTTGACTCTTCACATTGAATAATCCGTGAAGCGTATTATGTAAAATGTGAGGAGTCAAAAATTAATTTTATGGTTCAATAAATTCAAAATAAATTATAGCCATTCATTATGAATAAATTTCTATCAAAAATAAGGCTCAAGGAACTTTTTATATTATTTATATTAACCATAACGTACACGGATGTTGGCATATGAATATACAACGTCAGAGTGGGCGTCGCCATAAAAATTGACAACACTGAAAATAAAAGTAATACTTTTAACCAATCAGAAGACAGTAAATACACCAAATTTATTTATCAACAATTGCAGGCAATAATTTCTGAATTTACAGTACCTTTAACTTGTTTGCCATTGGCTATCGATAACAGTGATTTTACGCTTACTCAGTCTGTCAGAGGCCTTCCAATAGGGATTTAAATAGAATAAAAGAGCAAAGTACATGTAGGCACAAGAGAAGAAAAAAGAAAATAATTATTCAACATTTAAATCAACACACAAGGTTTAGTCCTCTGCTAGTAATTCGTACTATTTGATGATGGCATTTCGAGAACCTTTGGCGACCCCAGTTTAAATGTCTATAACACATTCAATGTGACAAGTGGGCGTTACAAACTTTCACCTTATCTGACCCAGTCAATAGATAACATAAGAGCGCCAAGAAATCGTCTTGTCCACGCTTTTATGAAAATGATTCTATATCAATTCAATATTCAAACAGTTACAGACTTTGCATAAAAATTTGTTCGACCCAAATGTTTACAAATTCATTGATAATAACTTGCATACAGTTGGTTTCTATCCAACACAGCTCACTCGATACCAGACAGAAAACAAATGTAAGACTAGATACTCTAAAAATCAAACACTGATAGAAAAGAACCCTTAAAAAATAATGTTAAATGCCTATATATATATTATTACCATAAAATTTGTGGAATATATAAACTTACCACATATTTTTCATGGTAAAGCCTCAGACTTGGTGAAGATTAAATTGACCATGTCCCTTAGAGCTGCTCTCCCGGCTGACAGGGTGGCTCTCTTCATCATCTTAACATCTTTTTTTTTTAAATATAGTTTTAAACATTAAATATATCAGATGCATTTCCAATAAATCCCCTTTCTTGAAAATTTCAGCAAATCAATTGTTAATGACCCAAGATTTCTCCCACCCTGCATACTTATTATCTAGAGCTCTGCTTACATTTATTTTTTTTTTATTACAGAGCTCTAAATAATAGTCAATATTAGCTAGTATACATCTGATATTTAAAAAAAATGTACAAACATGAATATCCAAGTAGATGAAAATCCTAACATTGAGGGAATTTCAAGTATGTGGAGTTAAACAGGGGTATAATAAATTGCCTCCCTTTGACCAAAATTTCACCCTGTTCGGACTCCACATCCTTGTTATATTAAACAAAATAAATAAAATAGTACAATTAAAATTAAAAAATAGATTGATAACAAAAATCTAACACATTTCAATAAAATATTTCGTACTGATCGACTTATGGTGGCAGAGTGGTCCTATAAGCTAAAAATTCGTAAGGGTTCCGCGGAACCCAGTGTCTCGCCTACTTTTGCTGTTAATAGCAGGCTCAACAAAAATGAGGAAAAAAATTAATAAAAATTTTCCTCTCTATACTATCTTTTGATTGTAAGTAGCTTCTGTCCAAGTTTGGTAAAAATCCAGGATAGTTTATGAATCTAATAAATGTTTTAAAAACTTAAACTGCAGACTGTATGTAATGTTAACTGGAAGAAAAACTAAGTCCATTTATAAGTAAAATACGGAAAAAATGAAACAAAATTTTAACAAAATTTCCTTCTAGATACTAGCTTTTAATCATAAACAAGCTTCTGTCCAAGTTTGGTAGAAATCCAGGATAGTTTAAGAAAGTTATTATAATTTCAAAAACTTTTACAGAGTGAATATTTGTGGACGCCGACGGAATGTAGGATCGCTATGTCTCGCTTTTTCGACAAAAGTCGAAGGCTCGACAAAAATGACAAAAAAAGTGCAAAAAATATATTTCTAACTTCTTAACTTCGTAAATTCCTCTGCATTAGAGCACCCTTGTCACATATCTTAAAGATATCAAAATTAACATGAAAGAAAAGGTTGTAAGGGGATATATTTACTGCAGACCATTATTCATCTTTTTAGTTTACACTAGAGAGGCATTTGCTATGGTAAGGTATTTTGAAACGTTGCTAAAAAAAACAAAAATAATTAAAACTTTTGCTGAGAAATTTACTGGGAATATTCACATCGGCAGATTTAATTGCATTAACTACAAGTATAAAGTAACTTGTAAAATTTGAAAGTATCTCAAATCCTAAAATAACAAAAAGATGGCAAAAATATATACATTACAATTTGCAAAAAAAAAAATACATTTCAATAATCGAACATTTTTTCTTTTCTTTTTTCTTTCTTTTTCTTTTAGATTATCCATTCTTAAACTGCTGGAAGTGTTTTGACTAGACATGAGTATAAACAGAAAATAGAAAGAATTTTTGTAATGTCAAATACAAGTTAACCTACAACTTCCAATCTTGTTGAAAATGGAGAATCTTTACATATATTTTTTTTTTTTTTGTAAAAAAATTATAAACATTTTCTCAGCATACACAAAAATAGTCTGAATTACATTCTTTACTGTTGCAGTTATATCACACAACCATTTTATGCAGCCACAGTTATCTGAAAAAGAAATATACATTACTCATGAACATTGAAATAATATTTAATGCAAAACAATTATAACTAACTGAGCATTACAATTATAATGTATAGAACATTTCTTTTTCTTTGTTATAAAGTGATTTGTTGACATAAATTTTAAAGTACCAGTATTTCTTAGCAATAAAAGGATGAAAAACAAGTAATTGGCTGATGTCTTGACAAATATCTTTTTAACATTGTTTTATAGCTATATATAGTATATCAGGCTAACATACTTGATTGAATTTTTTAACATTTAGTCATGTTGAACCTTTATAGCTAACTATACAATATAGGTTTTGCTCATTGTTGAAGGCATAGGGTGACATTTAGTTGCATCCACATCATTTGGTCTCTGGTTGATAGCTGTCTCATTGGCATACATACCACACTTACATATTTTCATATATGGGGACAACTATAGATAACAAAAAAAAGATTTCGCATTATACATTATACTTTTTGACTTCCCTGATATATCTTTATATCTCCTTCTAAATTGTTTATTCAACTATAAGTAAAGAAGACATAAATATGTATTTACATCTGTGCCTAACAAAAATCTTGGGCTTTAAAATGCTCTTGGATGAAAAGTTCATAAATCTATGTATTGATTCTTACCATAAAAGTCAGCTCCAATGCCCACCCCAGTTTCAATCCTTACAGACAAGCTGTGATGCTAACCTGAAATATAAAATGATAATTCATTAATAAAACCCTGTAACTCGGAAACATAAAATCTAAAATTTATAAAAATCAAAGGGAGCTCGTGTCAATAGATATAAACAATTCACCACAATTTCTTGCGAGTTGGTGAAAGCAAACTTTAGTTATTGTCCGAAAACTGGAAAACCCCCCTTTTTTTAATGAATAAAACCCCATAACTTGGAAATGTAAAATCTAAAATTTATAAAAAACGAAAGGGAGCTCACGTCAATAGATATAAACAATTCACCAAAGTTTTATGCAAATTGGTTAAAGCTTTTTGAGTTAATGTCCGACATGTTCACGACGGACAACGGTATACCATAATACGTCCTGTAAACGGGCGTATAAAAACTGTTTAAAAGGTTCTTTGTTGGTATTATGTATGTATATTGAATAGATTGAATGGTTGGTTGTTGGTTGCTTAAGGTCCAGTGGCAAATCATTAAATAGAAATAGTCTTAAAATGTGTTATATATGTCAAGAACATATGGATGAGACAGCAATCCAACAAGACAACACATTTTTATGTAAACAATTCAGATCCTAAACTTTACTCTTATTTGGTTACTGATATAATAATAAGAGTAGATTCCTGTAAAAAATCTTTTAAGCGTTCAAATCTTGTTTTTCCATAAAATATTTATAATACATTTGAGTTTTCCAAAACAGGACTAACATACTGGTATATATACCTTTGTATTGGCTGTATAAGACCACCAAGTCTTATTCCCACACCATGAAAACATGTCTCAGAAAGAACCTGAAATGAAATTATAATCAACACATTATACATTTTGTTAATCAATTTATGTGTTACCGATAACCTAAAATTTACTAAATATTGTTCTGATTTCTTATTGCAGGTAGACAACTGTATCAAATCATTTTTTTTTAAATCAATATAAAAGATAGAAAAGTAAAAAAATGTCACGATTTAAATTTAACTGCACAAAAAATATCTGAATATTTTACAAAGTTATCTCCCATTGAATGCAAAATCATGTTTTAAATTGTACTGGTCTTTTCTTGAAGTTTAATGACTATTTTTAGGATTTACTATTGATATTTTAATAGAAAATCTTGTTCATGTATCTTGTATCTTTAAATACTAAACTGGTAAATTAATTCATCAATGGTGTTTTAAATGCAATATTTCAGAAGGGTCTGTTATCTTAAAAGATCTGGCTAAAATAACTTGCCTTTTCTATTTTCATGGTAAAGAGTCAGACTTGGTTGAAGATTTAATTGACCATCTTCCTAAGAGCTGTTATCCTGGTTGACAAGGTGGTTCTTCTCAATATCTTATTGTCAATCTATGTTGTGTCCATTTGTTTTTAGAAAATAAAGTAACATACATAAAAAATATCAGATGCACTTTCAATTAATAAACTTTTTGAAAAATTTCACATAATTATTTTAAGCGACACATAATTTTTCCCACCCTAAATTTCTATTATCTAGAAAACATCTGATATGTAAAAAAAGTGCATAAATGTGAGTATCCAAGTTAATAAAAATCTTAACATTGAGGGAATTTCAAGTATTTGAAGTTAAACACAGTATAATAAATTACCTCCCTTTGACCTAAATTTCACCCTGTTAGAACTCCACATCTTTGTTATATATAACAAAAAAACATAAATAGTATACCAGTAATCAAAATAAAAAAATAATCAAATTACAAAAATTCAACACATTTCAATAACATATTTAGTGCGGATTGAGTAATGGTGGCTGAATGGTCAAAGTAGTTCAACTACTGTATCACTAGCCTGTCAACACTCTGAACCCTCACATTGTAGGTGTGTTTAACGTCAATCTTAATTGACTAGATTTGCCAGTTTCTCTGTTGAAGGGGATGTTTTCACCAGGCTGTCTCCACAAATAAAAACTGGCAGCCAAGATACAGCAAATCATGCTGAAAGTGGTGTTAAATACCAAAAAATCAATCAATCACCTTTCATCAAGATATTTTTCAACTATGCTTCTTGTAAAATATTCTTAAAATAATATACCCTTTGTTATAAACTCAGCTAAAATGACACAAAGGTGAAAAAATATATTACAATTTGCAAAAATAAAAAACATTTCAATAATTGAACATTTTTTTCTTTTTCTTTTTTTCTTTTCTTTTCTTTTTTTTTTTTTTTTTAGATTCTCCATTCTTAAACTACTGGAAGTGTTTTGCCTAGATATGAGCATGAACAGAAAATAGAAAGTAATTTTTGAAATTTCAAAGACCTATTTACCTACAACTTCCAATCTTGTTGAAAATGGAGAACCTGTACATAATTTTTTTTTTCTTTTTGTAAAAATTATAAACATTTTCTCAATCATACACAAAAATAGTCTGAATTACATTCTTTACTGTTACAGTAAAATCACATAGCCCTTTTATGCAGCCAGAGTTACCTGAAAAAGAAATATACAGAATTAAACGGAATTTTCAAAATCTGAAAATTGAAACAATATCAAATGCAAAATAATAAGTAACTGGTCATTATAATCATGATTCATAAAACCTTTCTCTTACTTTGTTTAAAAGTGATTTGCTGATAT